GGGGACTTGTTTCTGGGTTTTGTGAACATAAACTCAGCCCTTCACAGTTGGTTGCAGGGCTGAATCAAATTTGCAGTGTTGCCCCACAACCAACCTCCTGGTGGCCTTTCACCAGCCTTGACAGTGCCTCCTCCTTCGAGGTCTGGGGCCCCAACACACAAGGCCCCTTCTCTAAGATTGTCAGTCCCATCCGCCCTGCCTCCCTGGTGCTGGGGATTTAACCCAGGATATTGAGCAGCTTAGCAAGTGCTACCACGTGGCCCCAGCCTCCTTTTGTCCTCCAGTCCTATGGATGCTAATTGTTTCTAGCAATTGCTACTTTAGTGTCCCTTTTTTGCCTTTTCAGCTGTCTAATACATGGGCTAACAATTCTTTATAGTAAATGTTATCTGTGAAAGTAACTGCCGCATTGCTGTCCTTGGACAGGATCTTGACTGATGCATTCCCTGGGGACAGTTATTCGTTAGAGTTGCTTTATATGAATAAATCTAACAAAAGATGTACGTGCAACATAAGGAGAGGCTAAAGAACAACCAAATAAATGGGAGGACAGATGCTCACCAATAGGAAGACAGAAATGTCCCTAAAGATTCCAGCTTTCTTCAAATGAGAGCTTGGGCTGGGTGCCCGAGGCACATGCCTGTAATCCTAGCTACTCAGGAGGCAGAGATGAGGAGGATATTGGTTCGAAGCCAGCCTGGGCAAAGCGTTCTTGAGAACTTATCTCAAGAATACCAAACACAAAAAGGGGTTGGTGGAGTGGCTCAAGTGTGAGGTCCTGAGTTCAAACCCCAGTACTGCCAAAATAAATAAATAAATAAATAAAACAAGTGAGATCTTGGAGCAGGCCTTGGAATCTGTGTTTTATCATGGCAGGACCAGGCCATTTTGGAAAATGCTTGATGAAGAAAGATTTCTTTTTTCTTTTTTTGCCTGGGCTGGCTTCAAACCCCCTGATCCTCCTGATCTCTGCTTCCTGAATAGCTAGGATTATAGGCGTGAGCCACTGGCACCTGGCTCAAATTGCTTCTTTGGACATGCCAATACTTTCCATCATATTACAGGGAATGGTGAGGTCTGTCACTTACTGTTAGCAAAGACAGAGGAAGAGGAGGAGAAAGAGGATGTTATGTTAAGATAAGGGCTGGTTGCTGGGTGTGGTGGCCTATAGAGGCTGAGGCCTCAGTTCCTGGCCAGCCTGGGCTATATAGTAAGACCCTGTCTCAAAAAAAAGAAAGAAAGAAAGGAAAGGAAAAGGAAAAGGAAAGGAGAAAGAAAGAAAGGCTGGCAACCACCCCACTCAGGGCACATACCATGGGTGGTCGGCTAGGATTAGTCAGTGAGTCCATATTCCATATTTTAGCCACTGTAAATGCTTTGTTAGCCATGGCTTTGCTAAGAAGCAAAATGAAGGTTAGAAATACATTTTCTTTCCTTTTGTTTTCTTTTTCTTTCTGTTTTTTTTGTGGTTCTGGGGTTTGAACTCATGGTCTACACCTTGAGCCACTCCACCAGCCCTTTTTATGTGATGAATTTTTTCGAGATGGGGTTTCATGAACTACTTGCCCAGGCTGGCAATCCTCCTGGATTGCTGCCTCCTGAGTAGCTAGGATTACAGGCATGAGCCACCTGTGCCCTGCTGTCTTTTTATTTTCCTCACAATTTATCACTGGGCTTTTTATACACAGTGATAGTTTTGTGCCTGACACAGCAATAGTTTTTCTGCCTGTTTGCTCAAGACTTTAAGAAATATCTGAATAGAGCTAAGGATGTGACTTCATGACAGAGGAGTTGATCACATGCATGAGGCCCTGGGTTCTATCTCCAGAAAAGAACGTAGCTGGGAATTAAAGAAAGAAAGAATCTCTAAGATGAGCAAGACAACACACATTCTAAATCTCACCAAGAGATTTTTCTCCCACAGTTGTTCTCAGCAGGGTGTGGGCTTCAGGGACCCCAAGTTGACACCTCACATTTTACCCATTTTGATTTTTTGTTTGTTTTTGGAGGTACTGGAGTTTGAACTCAGGGCCTCACACTTGCTAGGCAGGGGCTCTAACACTTGAGCCATTCCACCAGCCCCACCCCTTGCAAGTTTTATCTACTGATACAAAAAGAGGATATAATATACAAGAATGGAACCCCATGAGGGGATCATTAAGGTCTCGTGTTTGACACTTGCCACCAAGCTCAGTGCCATTTTTTTGTTTTGCTTTTCTTTGTGTTTTTGATGGAACTGGGGCTTGAACTCAGAGATTTCCACTCACAAAGCAGGTGCTCTACCACTTGAGCCACACCTCCAGTTCTGTTGATTACTGGACACAATTCTTAACAGAGATAATACTTCCTGGAGCAAAGGTGAGAACAATCCTTGTTGAGGAGACACGGGGTACCCCTTAAAGACTTAGAAATAAAGAAATGATAGCCCTTGAAGACTTAAACTATAACCCTGACAATGTATCCCAGTGGAGATAACTGAAGTGCTTTACAAAGATTTGGGGCTGGATAGTCCCTTCTCTGAAGGCACTTGAGATAAAAACAAAAATCTACAGAAGAAATGGTTCTATCAAAACTTAAGTTAGTCTGACCCAGGAAAGAGAGAGGAGAGGAGAGAACCTGGCAGAAGCTATCCTTTCACCCAGCTTTAGATGTTACATGTCTGCTACACTGTATTCTTCACTAAATCCTGCCCACATTCAAGGGAGGGAGATTTCCTTTTTAATCTGTGAACAGATTAAAAAACTACTGGAGCCTAAATCTAGAAATGTTACAAAATGTACTTGGCTAGCTTGTGCCCAGGTCAAGGGCTCAATCCCCAGTACCACAAATGCATATCTTTTTGAGACAGGGTCTCTCTGTGTTGTCCAGGTTGGTCTCAATACTTGGGATCCTTCTGCCTCAGTTTCTGAAGTAGTTGGGATTAGAGGTGGAAACCACCATGCCCAGCTCCCCTCCTTCATTCCCTCCCTCCCTCCCTCCCTTCCTTCCCTATTCCCTTCCTCTCTGCCCCTCTCTCCCTGTTTCTGTCTCTGTGTCTTTCACTTTCACAGGGTCTCACATAGCCCAGACTCACCTCAAACCCACTATTCTCCTGCCTCAACCTCCAGAGTGCTTGTCTATTGTTTTAATAAAGATAACTTAAAATTTTTTGGTTCCATACATACACATATACTTAAACAATAAATAAAATCATGAAGTAAAAAGTCTACTCAGGAAAAAATATTAACACTCTGAGGAATAATCTTCTAAACATTTCTTCTTCCTCCCCCTCCCCCACCCATCCCCCTCCTCTTTCTTTTCTTCTTCTTCCTTCGTTCTGGAGTTTGAACTCAGGGCTTCGTGCTTGCAGTTGCTCTACTGTTTGAGTTTGTTGTTTTGTTTTTTTCTCTTTCTTCTTCTTCTAAATACTTCTGAACATCTCATGCCATTCTACATAGATGAAGTGTTTTTTTCTAAGTCAATTTAAAAAACGCTTATAATTTTAGCCTGGTATTCTATTGTTCCGTAATGAACTGTGGTGCATTTTGTCATTCAATTCTCTGGAGAATTGCACTACTGATAGATTTTTTTCTATATATTTCTGTGACTTTTTTCTTTGAGAAAATGAGACATGGTGGCTGAGGCCATCAGCTTTATGTAGAATCTGGGTATAGGTTTATTATCAACTGCCACCTATGTTTCAAACTGTGCTTTTGTTTAGAAATCTCAAAGCTGGAGTGAGGCGTTCTGCTCCGTGAAACAAAATAATGATACTTTTTCCAAATTTACAAAATAATTAAAATTAACAGATGGAATTTTCCCAATATTGAAATTCGTTATTAAATTTTTGATGCCTGCTACCACTGTTTTGTATCCAACTGTAATAAGTGGCACAGTATTTGCACAAATTTTCATTACAAATTATTTAAGACAATATGTCTGGATTCCCTGCCCCCCGTATAATGGCTATATCCTAATAAAAGTTTTATAATAAAAAATTATTCATCAAAAATATGTCTGGATTTCGTGATGGTCTGTGACTTTCAAAAGCTGGGCCACTGGAGATCTGGTTCCATTAGACGGAAATAGGGAATATTCCTGAGGGCACATTCCCCTCCTCCCCCCATTCCCCCATTACATCAAGAAAAACAACTGATTTAGTAAGTCGTTTGAAGAGTTTAAGTAATGGAAAGAATGGTGGAGAAAGCAGGATACATTTAACGAGGTAATCTCACAGTAAGTGCGGAACTGTGTTAGAAGCCGCGGCAGTTCAGCCAAGGTGAATAGGGATCAGCCCCCCACCTCAAAGGAGCTGGGAGTAGGAAAACCGTGGTGAGAACTCTAGTGGAACATCTGGATTAGGGGCAAGTGTCCGAGACCAAAGCCTCAAATTCTGAGAACCATTACAGCTCCCACCGTGAAAACAGCGAAGTAGTTTGCCCCATCCCCAAATCATTCGCGCTCAATTCCAAAGAACAGCAACAAAACACGAAACACAAACGTCCTTGAATCTGTTCCTTCTCAAACACTGGAATATTTTGAAACTTTTCTTGTAAGATAATAATGAGTACCTTCCGGTAGCGAGACATCGCCCCCTAGAAACTACAAGTCCCAGTAGGCTACACACACACACACACACACACACACACACACACACACACAGACACCACACACACACACACACACAGACACACACACACAGACACACACACACACACACACACACACACACACACACACACACACACACACCCCCCCCCCCCCCCACCCCCCACCCCCCCAGCGGGGCACGCTCCTTTCCTGGGAATTCCGCATTACTCTCCAATCCCGATCCGGGCCTGCAAACCCAGGCCGCAAAGCCTTCTGGGACTTGTAGTTCACTCCCGAGTCCCGGTCCGCGCAGACTCACGCGGCCTCTGTCTGCCCTTCGGCCCTTGCAGAAGCCCAACCCAGCATTCAATGCTCCCCACCCCCATCTCGCGGCTCTCCCTCGGGGGGCAAACCTCCTCCGGTCACGTGCGAGAGCTTGCATGCGGCGGTTGGCTGTGGGGGCTCGGGGGCGGAGCTCAAGGCCCTGGGAGGTTCCGTGCCCCTGGTCCGGCCGCTTGTTTGGCTGCTGCCGTCACCTCATGGCGACGCGGGTAGAGGAGGCAGCGCGGAGAAGAGGCGGCGGCGCTGAGGAGACCGTGGAGGCCGGACAGGGCGGACGGCGACGCAGCCCGAGGCAGAAGGTCAGTCAGGGAGACTCCGTTGTTGGTCCGGGGAGGTTACTCTGGCTACCTTTTTCGGGTTCTTATCTCTTCAGTCTCCCTTAGTTACCTTTAGCCACGGGACGAACATCCGGCCCTTTTCCCTCCCCGGGTGACGACAGTGGGAGCAGGTGGGGGGGTGGGATTGGGACGGATGGGGTGGGAAAGGACGATGATCGGGGTTTGGGGGAACACGGTGGTGAGGGTTGAAGGAGGGCAGCGTACACCCGGGTTTGAGGGGGAAAGGGTGCGAGGCGGGGGTGCGCCAGGTGTGACAGCCACGTGTGGCCGGCGCCGCGGAGCCCCGGGCGCCAGGTGTTATCCCTCCCAACCCCGGCGGTCACAGTGCTCCCGGCGCAGGACGCTGCTGTTTGGGGGGCTCACTGGGGTTACGGGTTCGCTGGCTTTGCGTCGGGCAGGTGCGCAGGGCGCGCTGCGGGGTGCACCCGGGTGGCTCTGGCGAGGCTGTTGCGCAGTAAGATAACAGCGCGGGAGCTAGGGCTGCGCTTCGCCCCCCTTCCCCCGCCCCCCTGCGCTCTTCGCCACTGCGCGGGCGGTGAACGCCGCGGGGCTAAGTGGGGGGGGCACTTGGCCCCCGGGACTCAGGCCCTGGGGTTCGTCTCTGGGCACCATGGACCTGGCTGCACGTGGGACTGGGGTAGGGGAGGTGATGCTGGAGAACCTCGGTCCCGTACAGTTGCGATCAGCATCGCTTGATAGCCAGTCTTCCCAGTCCTCCAAGTCCTGCAACCCCTCACCCCCTTTCTTCCTCCCCTCCCCTCTTTTCTTTTTAATTTGGCAAACAGAAACTTGAGCGCCTCCCCGATCTGGCCTTTGGTCTTTCTTAATCTGGAAGACAAGATGGACCGTTCCCCTTGCCTTACTTGACTCACGTCAAGGAGTTTTCAGTGTCTCCCTGGATACAGGAAATCGAGACCTCTTTTCAGAATGGGAGAATTCCACTTGTTCTGGAGCTCAGTGGGTGGAGTTTGAGAAAGATTGCACAAGGAATAGGGTACAGGGCTTTTGGGGCCCAGAAACAGAGAACTGTGGGAAATGGGACTGAGAAGGTGGAAACCCCGTCCTTTTATCCTTGGAGGTGAACATATTGAAACGTTCAACTTGTTGAATGTCTTGCTTGATCACTCAAGGCTATTTAATATTACTTAATTATGTGTTTGACTAATCTTAAAAATCACTGCTGTATGAAATTACGAAATAATATTTTTCTAATGTGATTCATGAACTTCAAAAGGGAACAAAGGTCCGGTTTACACTTGAGCAAAGTGTCAAAAATTGGCTTTTTTGGATCGGGCCTGTTTCTAAGGTCAGGTATTTTCATGTCTCTGCATGAGATTGTTACTACTACTCAATTGCACGCGCGCGCACACACACACACACACACACACACACACCCTCTCCCTCCCTTCCTTTCTCCCTCCCTCTCTTCCCCCCCTTCCCTCCCCCGCCAAAAGAAAGATCTAGTGCTTGTAGGACTGAAAAAGAAGCCTTGGACCAATGTACTTTAGGGATTCAACATTGTCACTTTGGACACTTATTCCCTAAGGGTGGGAAGCCAGTCCCAGTGTTTGATTTCATAGGTTCCTCAGGGGAGAACTCGGATAAAAAGCCACTGCAATTGAGGACATAAGTTCCCTTTTATGCCACTGGGAAAAAGGACAAAAAGTCATTGAATTAGGAATTGAGGTTTAATCAACTAGTATTTTAAACTACCAAGATAAGAGGTAATGACCCTTGGAGGTACAGAGCTCTGGTTAATAGCTGGATATGAGTAGTCATATGTATCTATTTGTCTTATTTTTGTTTACTTACCTTGTACTCCTTTCTAATTTTTCATGCTTTTCTGGGAATCTTTTTCCTTTTGGTGTCTAACTGATTATGACATGGAATTGAAATACACAGTTAAATATTAGTTTTTGAATTTTTATTTAAAATAGGGTATTGTGTCTGCAAAAATTATTTCTAAATTACTCCCTTCTTACCCTTAATTTTTTATTTCCTCTAGACCATTATTTGAGAAAATATTCCTTATTCTAACAACCTCTAGCTATCCTCTTTTTTTCAGGAAGCAGAAATGTTTAACAAATTGGGGAAGGAATTAAAAGTGACTGCTTTGTCATTATTTAGTTATATTATGGGACTTGAGGTGAGAAAAATTGGAGATGGGCTTTGTTGGTTCCTGGTTGTTTGAACCATCTACCTAGTCACTTTTTTTGTTGTTTTGAGACAGGGTCTTACTGTGTAGTCCAGGCTGACTTTGAACTTGGATTCTCCGACTTTAGCCTCCTGAGTGCTGGGATTATTTGAATTGCAGGCCTGCTCACCACATCTGGCTTTTTTGAGACAGAGTCTCACTGTATTGCCCAGGCTGGCCTTGAACTCCTGGGCTGAAGTGCCTAGTCACTCAGTTGATTGTGGCATCATTTCGTAACTACATCTACTTGAAATGATCTCTTGAGGTAATTTTTTTCTTCTAAAGGTAATACAGTACATGTCTAGGGTTTTCTTGAGGAATTGTCTAAAACTGTGCTGGTATGTAGCCACTAGCCACATGTGGCTATTTAAATTTGTTAAATAAAATACAAAGTTTCTGTTCCTCAGAATTCGTTTCTGTTCCTCAGAATTCCAGGTGTTCCAGTAGACAGTATTAGAGGTTGCTGTATTAGAGCTGATTGAGAACATTTTTATCATTGTATAAAATTCTGTTGGACAGCATTGATCTAAAAAGATGCTTATATTATTGTTTGCGACTTTTTTTTTTTTAAAGGAGAAAGCAAAGATTTACTAGAACGCCATTAAAAGGGGAGAGAATGGCGCACAACTAGGCAAAGAAGCATGGTGCCTTTTAGGAAACTTTTGGAGGGGAGGCAGTACTGGGATTTGAACGCAGGGATTCTCCCCTGCTAGGCTCGCCCCCTGTGCCTGAGCCATGCCTCCAGCCTGAGACATATTTTAGAACATCAAGCTCATTAATGTTTCTTTCTAAAACCCTGTGTAGAATTTATTTCACAGGTTGGGTTTTTTCTTTTTTTGTGTATTTTAAAAATTAATAGACATTTTTTGACCAGTTTTAGGTTTACAGAAAAATTGAGCCCAAAGTACAGAGTTCCTCCTCACCCACCCCTTTCTCTTATTTACATCTGGCATTGGTATGGTACATTTGTTACAATTGCTGAGAAAACATTGATATATTGTTATTGGCTAAGCCCATAATTTATAGGGCTTACTGTGGTGTTACACAATGTATGGGTTTTGACAAATGGAAAGTAACATGTATCCATAACACCCTATGCTTTACCTGGTTATCCCTCTCTCTTTTTCCCCAAACACCTGGCACCATTGATCTTTTGTTGTTGTTTGTGTTGTGTGTGAGACAGGGTCTCACTGTGTAGTCCAGGTTGGCTTCAAACCCATGATCACCCTGCCTCAGCCTCCTGAGTGCTGCTGGGATTAGAGGTGTGTGTGTGTGCCACCACACCCAGCTCCCACTGATCTTTGTACTGTCTCCCTAGTCTTGACCTTTCCAGAGTGTATAAGGTTGTTTTTTTGTTTGTTTATTTGTTTTTTAATTAGGTTTTTGCTTGGGAATGTTAAAAATTGTTTATTACTAAACTTATTTTCAGGTCCATAAACCATTTGGAATAATAAAAATACATAGTATTTAGGCTCAATTTAACAAAATCTTACATTTATATAGTGCCCTAGAGTTTTTTATGGCACATTTGCACATACATTAACTCTTTCAGCATTACTCAGATGTTATGGAGAAGGCTGGGCAGCTGTCAACTGCCCACATCTGCTGATGACAAACTGGTCAAGTGATTTGCCCAAGGGGTGAAGCTGAGTCTGGAACCCAATACCCTTTCATCTACAGTACAGTAATAAGTAGTCTAGTAGTGGGTAGATACTATGGATTTTAGAGTCAAGACTCTTGACTCTCTGCCACTTACTAGCTGTGCATCCTTGGGCAAGCTTCTTAATGGACAAGCCTAAGTTGGATCATCTGTGAAGTGGGGATGATGCTAATACCTCCCACATTAGGGTCATTGTGAAGAATAAGAGGTGATGCGACATTTGGCATAGTGCAGAGCATGTAAAATTTTACATTGTTTGGAGGGGAGAGTATATGATGTACATTTTCTCTTGCTGTTAGGGTACTATTAATTTTGTAAATCCTATCTTCCAGTCTTTGTGTTCTCCCCTTTTCCTAGAATTTCTGTTATGGCTGTAATGAGGAGAAATTAGTCAGGATTGGGCAAGAGTATGGGGTAGGAAGAAACCATTTTATTAATCTTGTTTTTCTCTCTATTTGCCAACTTGAACTTCCACTTTTCTGGCACAGATATTAAGTAATAAGCAAAGTGATCTGTTTACAACATTGTTTTCTTTATTGCCAAGCTTAATAAATTTCATGTTTTTAATGGGAGTCAAACAGGTAAAGCAATAATGAGGACAAACCAGATATAGCACATTCCTCTAGTAATAGCACATTTCCATATTGTAATAGACCATATTTATTTGTTATTTAGGAGGTTTATTTATTTACTTATTTAAGACAAGGTCTTGCTCTGTTGCCCAGGATGGCCTTGAACTTGTGATCTTGTTGCTTTAGCTTCCCTAGACTGGAATTATAGGTGTGTGATACCACACCTGACTAGAAGGTGTTTTATATGTTATTTCATATATCATTTATATTGGTTTTGACTAGTTGTATTTATGAAACTATATGTCAAATCCAGATGACACAAAATGGTCTGTGGTTTGCTTTTGTGAAATTTTTTTTTTTTACAGTGCTGGAGATAATGAACCCAGGGTCTTCTGCATGCTAGGCAAGTGCTATACTACTAACTTCCATCTTCAGTCTCTTTTATGGGATCCTTTATAGGATTCACTATTACAGATTTTTTTCAAATATAGTGTTCAGATTTTACACTTTTCAGAAAGTTAGTTTTTTGGGGGTG